AGGGACAAGGCAGGGGCAGACCAGGCCATGTGCCCTGAGCTACTCACTTCTGCAGTCTGAGGAGGGATTTGCTGACATCTTTGTGCCTTAGGTATAGAAATCCACTGTCTTGCTGTCACATTAATCCCACTAGGTGGGATTAATGCCTGGGATACATTTTCACACAGACATGCAGAGGATGGATATTCTGTGTCTTCACCAGTTTGCCTTGCTGATCTCCCATGGTTTCCTAGGCAATGAAAAGGGAATGTACAATAGACCACAGATTTTCATTTAGTTTGTATTCAACAGTAATGACAGTGTCTATATTGGCAATAAAAGAAATAATGTAGACTGAGAAAATAAATAAGATACATAAAGAAGTCAGCCAATAGTTGTGGCCAGAACATATAATTTTCACTCCCACATTAAAATGAAATAAAAATAAACCACCACAAAGCAAAACACAAAGCAAGCCTTCCCCAAAACAGAATTCTTTCCAATTTTACTGGGGGAAAAAAAAATTGTTTCAAATTACTTCAGAAAGACATTTTGGCTTTCATTTTCCCCTTTCTCTGATGCCGGATGCATCAACTATTTTTGACACCAATATTTTCTCAGAAAAACTATTGGTTTCTAACCTACAATTCTCACTGAAAATTCTAAACTGTTTTCATCTTTTTGCTTTACTTTCTTGCATAACTTCCAGGCATTAAGACACTGACTACATTTGAAGGGTCATTTTAAAGCATTAGAGTTACAGAATGTAATCAGATCTAGGCCCTTCAGGTCTATAGAGAAAACAAAAGGATAGGTTACTGAAAATGGGATCTCCAAAAGTCATTCAAGAGTACGCTGCTGATGTTGCTGGGCCTTCTGCCGACCAGCTTAGCCATTTCCAACACAGCTTGATAGCCAAGCCTTTAGAAAAGGAGAAAGAGAAGTAATCTCAATAGTTTGATCCTCATGGTGTGCTTTATGTAAGAGTTTGTACTAAATTGCTGCTACATTTGCTGTAAGTAGTGAGCTTCCAAGCAGACTTTTGGTCCTTACTCTTCTAAGATCTACACGTTGTGATGGACAAATATTGGTTACTAGCAGAATAGGAAGTTCATTCACACTGAAAGTGGGAATTTGGAGTTGGACTCAATGACCTTGAAGGTCCCTTCCAACTCAGGTTATTCTAGGAAATGCTCTGGGTGCCAGACCCAGGTCCTTCTGAAAACCCACTAATCAGAGTACCTAACAGGTGACAGCTCACAAAGTACAGCTTCTGCTCTTAACTGCTGAGAAACTGAATCACTCACAGGTTGACCACCCCTGCAGACTCTGCCGATACACACAGGTCTTGGCAATGGTCTTCCAGTTATAGGTATTAAACATGAAATATAAATTTCATGCAACTATTTTAATAAAATTGGGGTTGGAATTGGTTGAGGGTTTTTTTTGGGTTTGCTTTGTTTTGCAAAAATACCATCATTTAGCTTTCAAAAGTACCATCAGTATTTGTTCTTGGTAGGTTGTTTTATGCCTGAAGCTTTTACTTAGTCTTTAATAACAGTGTTCAGGGAATACAGCAACCAGCAAATGGAAAGGCTTTCCTTTTTTAGATGTGATGTATCATCTCTGATTTTGAGAAACATAATAAGTGAGACCGTGTCACTGCTGGCATTTCTTGGTGCATTTGAGAAATGCCTGATACCAGAGTGTAAACTGCTGTTAGCTGACAGAAGCTAAGGATTTGTCATGTTTGTTTCCGAAATTATTGCTCTAGACTGGCACTTTAAAAAAATAAAAGGCCAACTGCATATAATAGCTGTTTCATGTATTGAAACGTACTGTGGAAAGATCTGGTTATTTCTCTGAATCTTCTAGTAAAGTCTAGCATATTCACAGAAGGTAACATGTATTGGGCTGGTAAGTATTTTAATGTGCCAAACTATCTGATCTATACGAAGAGTCTCAGATGTCAAGCCTCAGAGCCAAGTCTTGTCCTTCACATCCTCTGCCCAGTGTCACACAGAGAGCAAATGGGCCATTTGGGAAGAGAATGCAATGCAGCCCCGGGTATCATTGCTCCTGTCTGAAAAAGGAAGCACTGCAGCCTGCTACAGGATCTCCTGGATGAAATAATTAAGCTTTGAGAAATAAGGAGTGAACCCTTGTATTTTTAGCTATGCCAGCTTCCCAGGGAGTGCAGTCCTTCACTCTGAGCCCACTCCTTGCTCAGTGCAGGCCATGATCTGCAGCTGATTTGCTGCCAGTGCTGCAGAGAGGCACGAAACCCTTCCCCTGAAAAAATGCACACACATCAGAAAAGGGAATGAGAGGGTAGAGGGGTAATACTGTCAAAAATTTTCCTTCTATAGTCAATTGCAAGCCGGGTAGTCCATCAGCTTTTTCTGATCCTCAGGAAACTTCAGGTGAGTGCACAGCTGACAATGCCTAGTGCTGACAAGTCAGATGGAGGAGCCCCAGCCATCTGCATGGGCTGTGGATGAGAATCTCCCCAGCTTCAGAGGCAGTTTCCTGTAGCACTGTCTCTGCAGGGCCTTTCCCAAGTGCTGGCAGAGATTCAGACTGTGTCTGAGTGTGCAGAAGACTCTCCTGCACCTGCCGTGCCAAGCCATCCTGCTCTCAACAACAAAAAACAACTCTGGGAAAAGGAATTTGCAACCAGTGTCTAAAACAGATTACCACAGAGTAGCTTAATAAAAAGCAGAATTGATGTGTTTTTGCTGCTGACGTTTGCTAAAGGATTGTTCTGCTCTCTGATGCTTTTTAATGCAGGAATAGAAAAGCTCATTCTGCCAAAAATGCTTCAGTGTTGTACTGAGCTGAATAACTACTACAAATTCCTTCACTGTATGTTATGCCTTTAAATCTCTTGAGAGTCCTCTGTCTTTGAGGTAGACATCCACTTCGTATTCACAGCACTACAGTCTCTTGCAGATACGTAAAACACGGTTTCCTTGAGGATGTTTTCTCTCATTTTAGCTTCGCTCCCTGAGGAAATCCTCGCTTTGGGAGTGGGTGGGAGGTTTACATGCCTACATCTGTCCTTCCGTGTTCCCTGAGAGCTGCCATTGTTCAATTTGAGCTTTCTCAGGCAAAAAAAAGTGAGTGAGAAAAGTGGCGGTGGGAGTTCACAGCTTATTAAACACCAGAGAATCTACAGCAGCATTATAAACACCTCGATATTGAAAAAACTTTGCCATAGATATATATGTTCCTAAGCTCCAGAAATTCACTTGTGACCTGGGAGAAAACAGCTTTCAAATTCAGCACAGCAGGAGATGCACCTGAGGCCATACACGGTCCCTAACTGGAGAGTTAACTGAGGACTGTTCAGTGCTGGGGACACTGGAGGAAAGAAATGGGCTGGTGGATTGCTTCAGTCCTCAGCATTCAGATATCACTACTGACAGGGACTATGAGAGGCCGGGTAAAGGCAGGTTGCTCAGAACTCTGTGATTGTGGCAGTGCTAGGCTCCAGGGGCCTCCTTCTGCTGGAAAATATTGCAGGGGATCAATATATATCAGCAGGGCTAACTCAGGAGATGGTAGCTACCTGCAGAAACTGGCAGATGCAGATGATAGCAATCCTTGGTAGAATTCAGGCAGAGTTATTTAATCAGGCAATACAAATCCATAGGAATCAAAATTTATTAGTTCTAGCACTCATCAACCTGCCCATTTTTCCCTCATTTTCTCACAGTCAGACTGGATCTAAGAGGCTGCTTCTCACAAAGGGAAGAACACAGACCTCCTGTGCCAGATTTACAGCACATTCCAAATTCTTCGAAGCTAGAATTTTGTTTGGCTTCTATAAAATGTATGTGCAGGGGCACAGCATATTTCTCTGCCTTATTCCCTCACCAGGCAGTAATTATTTCAAACAGGTTTCCTCACTACCCAGTCATAGCAGGCTCTGATTCTGTGCTAGCATAGAGGAAAATGAAATCTGGAGGGTTCTTTTTCATGTGCTTCATATGAGTCACATTCCTTCAGTAATACCTACAGGTGAATGCACTTAGTGGTGTCCAGACTGCAGCCCACTGGCTCCTCATGGCAGTCCTGCACTGTGGCATCTCCCAGACAGGGTGCACAGAGGGAATTGGGCTCTATGCAGCCCTTCATTTTCCTTGGGAGGAAACCAAAGAGCTTGGAGAGCTGCAATGCCCATCAGTGCATGGGCTGCTCAGCACCTGGTGGATGTGCAGGCACGTGCTCTCAATGGTAACCACCTCAGCTCTGTGGAACAGTGACTGCTGCTTTGTAACACTGCCAAAATACATAGCTATTAGGAATCATGACAAAGTTTGTTAGGAAGAAAATTAATTACAAATTGGTTTTTGCTGTTGCTTTTCCCTAAAGAAACAGACTAGTAAGTCAGTTCCTAAAGTGTCTGGTAGAGGAGGGGAAAAGTTGGTCCCCCTCCCCTCCCCTGCTGTTCTGGTTTCTTTTCCTGGTTTCTTTCACTGCCTTCCTCCCAGGGCAACAATTCATGATAATTGACAGATTGCAAGATAAAAACTCAGTAACTCTTGGTACTTCCCCCTCCTCTACCAGCTCCTTCAGTATTAGTGTTTTCTATCAAGAAAATACCAAATCCTCATTATGTACCTGCAAGAAGTTCCACTTATCAGAGAGCCAATTGGAACTGAGTGCATGGCAGCACATAAGGGGATTTAAAACATGGAAGGTGCAGAGTGATGTTCCTTGGGGCTCTACCCAACCCTGCTGAATCAGCACTCACAGTGGCCTCCCTGTGTTCACCTGGACAGCTTCAACTTCTGAAGAAAATACATATGAACAAATACCTGAACCACTCCATGAGGCTGATGGACTACAAACTGGCTTGCACTAGTGATGGAACACCTGGTGGGAAGGCAGGGCAAACCCAAGGGAGCCCAGGTGCATGCAATGTACTTGAGTGACCAGAAGGGCTGAAGCCAGGATCCACCCCTTCCAGCCCTCATATAAGGGTTGGTAGCGAAGGCAAGCATATCTTCCTGGCAATTCCTGTGTATTTGAGGCCTTCTGAAGGTAAGTGGCTTGTTTCCTTTGTTTCTGTGCTAATGACTGTTGTATTTCAGCACGTTTTTCACCATTTTTCACTTGCTTCAGCCTAGGCCTTTACTGCTTTGTTGTAATACGTTACTATCGTGTTACAGGGCAGCATGCATACCACTATATGCAAAAGCACTGCCTGGTTGCCTGGTTTGGTGCTTTTCTAGTTCAACATGAGATTGTGAGAAATCCTCTGATTTAGCAGAGCTGTAAAGTATAGCTCTTAGGTTGGAGGGAAGTCCCTTTTTATCCAGCAAACCATGAATACGTTCTTAGCAGCTCTTGAATGCAGTGGGAGTTGAGCATGTTCTTAATCACATTAGAAATTAGCTTTTTTTAAAACTAGGGAATTAATTAATGGTAGTAAAGTCAGTACAACTTTTACTCTCTCATTTTTAGACCCAGTAAAGCAAAGAAGACTTGGTTCCTGGTGGGTCCGAGCACAGCTAACACAAGTCTCCTTTTGCTTCTTTCTGGCTATGGCACAAAAACACAACCAGAGTCCAGTTCCTCAGACCTCCAGAATCACAACCTAGGAAGTTTCCAGGTCAGTGTGAAAGTTTTTGTACTGACTTTCTAAAGTGGAAAAACTCTGTTTTTGCTGAGTGAAATACTTCCTGATTTAGTAGAGGCTGAAGACTTTGGAGTTCTCGATCCGGTTCTGGGTGTTAAGATGCTGGGCCCATTCTCAGTTCTGTCTATTAACTGGTGGAAAGCAAGGGAAGAAAACAATTTCAGGGTGATTTGAGTGTCTTAAAACTTGATACTGTAAATAATACCTCTGAAGTAAGTCAATAGCTTTGCTCTTCAATAAAGTATACATTCAGCGTGGATAAGGGCACAGGAGCCCATTCGAAGGTGCTGGAAAAAGGCTGTTCCTTGCAGTATTTGTATCCAGTGTGTAATCTGAAAAATACCAGCATTTGGGCAGTACCACAGGAGTACAAATTCTTCAATAGGCTTGTAACAAATCACCTAGAATTGCAAAAAGTAGCTTTCATGTGGTCAAAATTGCATTTCCTGTTGACTGGCTACTCTTCTGTAGCTGAGAAAGTGAAAATAAAGTCAGGGCTGCAGCTGATGTGCTTTATATAACTTTTTCCTCTCTAAGCTATGAGTTAGGTTTTTCCACTTTGCATTTCTATCACAGTTTTATTCTATTTAAAACAAACAAACCTTAAAGTGCACCTTGACTTCAGATAGAGCAAATTAATCAGATCGAGCACCTAGTAATTATTTAAATAATGAAGGCTCTAGTAAATTGCTAGAACTTCACTGTTGTAAGCAATACTGTGCTTTAGCACCCCTCTCTGTATCATTAAGCCTAGTGGAGCTCTGATTGAGAGTTTATCTCTCTGGGATACTCAGCAACATACATAAGAGTCTGTCTGAGAGCATTTACAAGTAGTGTAAGAACACATAGGTAAAGTCAGAGTCAGTTCCTTGCTTCAGCAACTCTGTTGCTTTATAGCCATATGGTCATTTCAGAGTGATCCCTGAATGCTCACACATACACTGATCTGCTTTGATTTTCTTTGTGAATGTGTGTGTTACACCTTTATCCCATAAGATGCAACTCATGTCACTTTTAAATCGTCCAAAGCTATTACCACAGACAGAGCAAAAAATCTGTGAGTCCTCAGGAATTCCTGAAGAGAAAAACCAGTGTTCCACCTCCTCCACTTCCTGTCAGTGAGCTCAAATTGACTTATTCACTGTATGAGAGAGGAGACTAAATGTAACCACAGGAAAGCCCTTATACAACTCGAGTCTCACAGGAGGGCCCTGTGGGCTCAAGTAAACAGTGAGGTCCTCTTCTACACACTGATGGCACCATCTTACCACTGGAGCATCATCTGCACCACAAGAAGGTGATGTTTATCATGCAGGAATTTCTGCTGCTGCCTTTGGAGGGCCAGCTGGCATGGCTGCCAGGTGGGTTGTTTTGCCTGCATCCTACAGCATGCTTTTTTCCTTTCTGGAAGTGAGAACGCATCCTGAAGCAAAGCAAGTTACCTCGGTACTGTTGAAGTCAACGAAGCTTCAACAGTTTTACCAGTTGTGAAGTGCAGAATATTGAGAATGTTTGTTTGTTCCAGCTCTGCCTCTGGTCTGGGATTTCACTCTGCTCAGCTGGGTTAAAAGAGGAAAGGATCTCAGGTGAATACAACTTCTGATTTATTACACGTGGTTGGAGCTGAGGAAGATGTGTGAGAAGGGGAAGATGGCACATCTGGTACTGGTTCCCATGCAGAGCCAAATTCCAGCTGACTTTGAGTCAAGATCACAAGGAAAAATCCTCATTCCTTTTTCCTTGCCTTCTGATGAAAGACTCAGACAGCGTCTGCACCTGACCTATACTGCTCAGCTCCTGGAGGAATAGCCATTTTGTAGCAAGACATTTTTGAAGCTGAGATTCATGTGGTGCTTGCTGGCTTTTGCTGTTTGCTGACAAGTGAAATTACGGAGGAAAATAATCACTTCTTGTTGAGTCCTGAGAGATGTCCTGTGAGTAGTAGCAGCTGTGCTGAGTTGTTGGAGCTGGCAGAACTCATCCATCTCTCTTTTTCCTGTCCTTTTAAACCAGTGCTTGTTTAGGGTCAAATCTTCCTGCAACTACAAAGAAAATTCCCACTGAAAATGGGTGCCTTCATCTGAGTTTTATTCCTAAAACTGTTTTCTTAGTACTGACAGTTTGATAAATGTTATTTATGTTATATAACTAAATGTTATTTAGTGCATTTTTTTAAGTGTATGGAGTGCAGTATTTGCAGTTATATGCCAGCATAGAAAGTTGCAGCACAGGAGATGAATGATCCACCACATGAAGCCTTGTTTCCTGCAATTTTCTCACAACCCTGTACTCCTGTGCTGATTTGCATTTATACTTGCCCTTGCAGTGGGGGAACTGCAAATACAGCTCCCCTGTTTTAAGAAGCCTGCAACTCTCATTCAGCTGTGGGGAGCTGGTACAGCCCAGCATTGCCAGCAGCATGTGGAGCTGCAGATTCTACTCCTCCTAGCTTATCCAGACTCCTCCAGTAAGTGCCACCACTTTCACTAGCAGCAATAAACCCCATCCTTTGAGCTGTGCTCAGTGGAAACCAAACCCATGACATTACTGCCAACAGGTCTTATTCATGCCTGTGAGGGGTTTAGCAGCCCTATTGCTGCTTTTTGTACATGCAGGAATCTTGAAGTATGTTTCTAAAGCTGCAGTCTAATAGCAGATCTCATCCTTGACATCAGACCTATTCCTTTTTCCTATCTTTTTCATTCCCTTTCAAACGATATGAGAATGATCCATAGTTGCTCTCTTGAAGCAGCCATATGGCCAGCAATATGTTATTAATGCGTGTACTTTCCTTTTTTCCCCTCTCATCAGCACTACTACATCAGGAAATCTAAGCAGTCCCAATCCTTCTTACTGTCTGGGGGAAGGCTGGATCCTCTGCCCATCCCAGTTGTGTTGCTGCTGCTGTGAACATACTTCCACTTGCATCAGCTTCAAGGTTCACTGCAATGAAGACACTGAAGCCCTGGAGCAGGTTCAGAGAAGGGCAACAAGGCTGGTGAGGGGTCTGGAGCTCAGGCCTTATAAGGAGCAGCTGAAGGAGCTGGGATTGTTCAGTCTGGACAAGAGGAGGCTCAGAGGGCACATTATTGCTCTCTATAACTACCTGAAGGGAGGTTGTTAGCTGGGGGTTGGCCTCTTCTCTCGGGTAGCTGGTGATAGGACCAGAGGGAATGGCTTCAAGCTGCGCCAGGCTGCTTCTCTGAAAGAGTGGTCAGGCACTGCAATGGGCTGCGCAGGGAGGTGGTGGAGTCACCAACCCTGGGGGTGTTCAAGGAGTGTTTGGATTTCATCTTGAGGGACATGGTTTAGTGAGAACTAGAGGTGATCAGTGGATGATTGGTCTGGGTGATCCTGTGGGAGTCTTTCCCAGCCTTAGCGATTCCGTGTTTCCAAGCTTGCAGTCCCTGACATTGCTAGGGCCAGCCTCTGCCCTAAGCTCAGAAAAGGGGTTTGGCTAATAGGGATTTTGAAAATCTCAGTTTTATTTATAGATAGGCTGGTTTAAACATTTATTATCCCTGTTTTATTAAACATAAAAGACTTCTGTATGTGAAAGAACAAACGCAATCCCTTGTGGAAGACAATAAACATAATAAAATGAATCTGCTTGCAAGCGAGGAGTCCTTTGTCTGGATGGTTTTTTATTTGCATCCTTGCGATATATGAACTTTTGTCTTTCTGCTCTGATGAAAGATTTCATTCTCTTTCTCTCTCTCTTTCCCTCTTCCTCCTCCATTCTCCCTTAGCACCATCAAAATCCCTCACATTGCATTAGAGGCTTGTTCTGTTTGTAATTAAGCAGTAATGCAGACATATGTAATGCTGCATTTGAAAGATGCTCTCAGCTACATTTGAAAGCTACAGATGCTGAGTAGGGTGCATTAGGGTTAATTGCCTAATAATTTACTGTATTAAATGCAGCTGCAGACACTTTGATTCTCACTAATTGTGACACTGAACAAAGAGTGTAAGGATTTTCTCATATTTGTGCAATATGGCTGTCAGAAGCCTTCAAGGCAGTTGTATGTCCTTTCCTTCTCCTTGGCTTCAGTGGCATGTGAATAGCAGTGGGACATCATTGAGAGAACTGGGATGTCACTGTGTTCATTTTATAATGATTTTCTTAATGTAATTCAGATTGCAGAGGTACACCCATTGACTGTTACTGAACTATAGGCCATCAAATGTGTTATGTTATGGACAGCTCTACAGAGAACAGCACGGAGAAACCCAAATACCTATAGAGCACAGGACAGTCACAGTGCAACCCACCTTTGTGCTTGTCCTTAGCTCCTGCAAAAATACTCAAAGTCATTGTTGCACTGATTTATTAATATCTTCCTGTATCAGAAAAAGATATTTGGTTCCTTTGTCACGGCTTAAATTTATTATTATTTTTTTTACATTAGATGTATCATCTGGAGCTTAATTGTTCATGAGACATTTAGCAGTATAATTTCCTATTCCCTAGTTCAATTCTTGCTCCAGTTTCTTCCTAATTGCTCCATCATTAATTTTACTCCTCTCCGTAGCACCAGAGAAAGTACTTATGAGTCTCTGCATCCCCACTAAACTCAGTACTCCATCCAGGAGCAAATTTCACTCCAAAGATTCAAGCAGGGGGTCTCTTTGTTCCCCACACCTTCATTTTCTTATACTCACTAGGTAGAGTGGCTGTGAAAATATTCAGTACATTTTTGGCTATGACAAATAGCTGTGTTTCACGCTTCTTTCCTATTAGAAGTAAAGGTGTGCAAAAGCATTAATGGCATTTAGATTAGAAAATACAAATGATTTTAAGGCTCACCAACCTTCCAGATTTCTGAGATGAGCTTCAAGCAGCATGCAGCAGCCATGAGGAGCAGAAACCAGCCCCAGCTCTCCTGAGATGTCAGCCTTTCTTTGCAAGAAGGACAAGAACATCAAATCCAACCTTCAGTGCTGTGGATGGTCAGACACTCCACTTTCTGCTTCCTGCAATTCTTTTTGGTGCTAAAAATCCATTCCAACATTTTCCATTAGAGGTTTCTCCAAAGTCTCAGTCCAGAATTAAATTGGCCTCTATCCTTCAGCTGGATTCCAGCCTTATCAATTCAATTAAATACTTCACTCCTTTCAATTCCTTACATAGGGAAATTACTTACTTGGGGTACACAGTCCCCTCCATCTGACATTTCTTATATTCAAGGAGAGGCAAATCAAAAGAAACCTAGCTTTTAAATAGCTACCTAAAGTTAACTAGAAAAAAATAACCTATAATGCATACTGAGGCCTTGAAAAGTGCTAAGAGCTTTGTTTCAACATATTATAAAGCTTTTATCATTGAGTACTGAAAGCCACTAATTCATGAAGATCCATGCCTGACAAAACTGTAAAACAAAGGGTGATTTACTGAGAAGAGAGCTCAGCAAACCACACAGTCACTTCATTTTTAAAATACCATTCTTCATTCTCTGTTGAACTGTGCAATCTTTCTATTGAAAGGGAAATTGATATCATTGATTAAACACAACAAAAGCTATTCCATTGGAAACCATTACTAAATCTAGCTGCTGGAAAAATACTTCTTTTTGTAAATCAAACCAATAAAATTCAGTTTAGTTTCTCATAACTAGGCACAACTACAACACACAATACAAGAAGCAGAGAATTGCACATTCTACCAAGGAAACATACAACACTGATTTGAAAAAGCCCCTCACATCCCTGCTTGTTTCTCATGCATGCATCTCTCCACAGCCAGCAGTTTGCTGAGGGCTTGTACTTAAGTGCAACATGTGAATGGCTCTTGGTACTATCAAGAAGATGCACACAGCAGTACTCACACAAGGGTCACAACCCCAGGCACAACCAAACTGCCAGCACAGTGCAGTTCTTACAGGCACAGCCCTCAGGCTCTGTCCCCCCATACAGTGCTGCTGCTGGAACTAAAGGGCTATTTTTCAACATTAGCAGCACCATTCCACCCGAGCACTGAATTCCTCTTGTAATGGTTTTTATCAGTCTCACTCTCTCCGACTTACAGTTCTAAATAGTCAAGGGATCTTTCTTAGAGTCTTTACTTTTGCAGTACTGAAAAGATTATGATACTCCAGAATTTATCTGGTAGACCAGATCACTTTTCACAATTCAGAAGACATAAATAATGCCTACACTTCTTAAGTTAATTTAAGTAAATTGGATTTGGTATGCCACCAGTTTAAATCTCACCCTAAAATTAAATCAGTCTTCATTCAGCTTTCAAATGTGCTAAATTGTTCGGATGTTCTAAAACTCTTCTTCCTTAAGGCTTCTGAGTGGAATTCTACATTTATTTAATAAAGCAGCCAGGATTTACTATACTGGTAGTGGTAAGCACTTTTTACTTTCCTCATGACAGATTGGAGTTGACTGTATACTTTTTTTTTTTTTGCTACAACTGCACAAGATTACAAGCCACTATTGAATTACCAAACTGAGGAAAATAAAGATTATTCCTGTGGGTGCAATGCAGGCTGCAGACTTGTTTTCCTTTAAAGAAGTGTTTAAAGAATTAGCAATAAATGTTATCAACTGCAGCTAGAAAATGATGCTGACTTATTACTTTGTGGTGATCCTAAGGGGCATCATGAAAACCAAATTCTTTAGCTGAGGTTTCCAGAAGAAAAAAGAGAAAGAAAAAAAAACTAGCAATGCCTTTTGAACACCTTACATTTAGATTTACACTATAGGCAAAAAGACTGAGCTTACAGAGCTCACAGGCAACCCTGCCTTGCTCCTGAAGATGTACAGCCCTGCAGTGCCCAAATGGTTACTCATTCATTTACAATATGTTTCCATTGCCACTGGGAAGGCATGAGATGACATTTCTACTGACAGCTTCTCGTAACAGCACAAGACAGACAAATTTCTCACCTTCGGTGCAGACCTCCAGTAACACACGTGCACCCCAATAGGTGAGGGGAGCACTGAGCCCTCCTGCACTCATCTCGTGCATGTTGGATTGAGTGCTGTGCTGATCTGGACAGGCACTGCTACTCCACAGATAATCCCCTCATTATCTACCACCCAATGACCAAGTGCCTTTCAGGATAACAGCGAAGCCTAGAAGACACAAACCCAACGGAAAGCAGAATATAAGTTGGACGGCTCTAAGCTGATGCAATATCATGGTGTTCCCATAGGCAAGAATGTTTTTGAAAAGGCTTTTTCTTGCTACTTTCTGAAGCTTGCAGATGTCTGACGGAAAACGAAGTTGTGACCCATCTCGTTTTTTCCCTCCATGAAAGTCACTTGCTACCTTTTGTCCAGCTCTACTGAACAGGTCTCTCATCTTGAAATCCTTAGGGTGTATGCTCAGCAAAATTCTCACGTAATGGTGACTCGCTGACAAATCACCAGAGCTTAGAAATGCTCACAAATGTTATCTTGCATGCCACCTTTACTGGAAACCCCATTCAAGCCAATTCTATGTCTTAGCCAAGACTGATATCGACAGGAACAAAAATCTCACAGCTTTTTTCATCAAATCTATGTGCATAAAATTCAATACAACTTACTTACACAAACTGGTAGCATGGATTACAGTCTGCAAGCCAGAATACTGAACTCAGCCTTTTCTCAGTTTCTAACATTGTCATTCAAAGTCGTACGCCCTCAGCCACCTAAGAGCCCTAAAGAAAAATATCTTCCATACTCATGCAGTTAAATAATTCCCGTTCAAAATGTACATGACAGCTGAATCACACCCGGTGAGTCACTGTTTATAATAGACTAAGCCTAAACTATCTGACTTAGCTGTCTTCCATTCAGTACAGCTAAGATAGATGGTCTTGGCACTATCTTCTCCAGAAACCTTTATTCTTCTTGCAGGAATCCAATTAAGTGGGCAACAAAAACCAGATTGCAGGATGGCGCAGTAGAATTCTCCTCTTCTACAGCACCGACCACCTTAATATTCCCATGTTTTACACAATCGTTCTTCAGGTCTTTTCTTTATTTGGGTCACAGTTTTGCTTTCTGGAAATGAACCAGAATCTATTTCTCCCAAAGAAATGAGCAATGCTGTTTCTTTAAACGTGTACATCAGGTTATCTTCTCCCTTTTTAGCTATAAAGCTGCAGAGCACAGATGTGCCTTGATTTTAGTCTGCTTTGCCGCATAATTGCATGCCTTCAACTTGAGAAATTTAACCTTGCTATTTACTCAGAAAACCTTTCTTAACTTTACTGTCAAGACAATGTTAATAAAGCCTGCCTTTGTTTGAGAATATGCTCACTGTAAATAGAGCTTCGCTTAAAAAAAAAAAAAAAAAAAAGAAAAAAAAAGATTAAAAAAGAAAAAAAAATCTATATGTTTAAACAGAATAAGATTTAAGGAGGGCCTAGGAGCATGTCCAGCTGCCATAAACTGATCAGAACTTACTCAGAGGGCCCCAGCAGTGGCCCAGCACAGACCTCCCTTCTACCATCAGGTCTCCACAGTGCCATCAGAGCACAGTTTTGTTATGCCAGTGGGAATTCAGCTCGTTTTTGGGTGGGTCAACGTTCATACCCACATTTGCCCTCTGCACCACAAACAGCCCAAGGGTAGCAGTAAATTCTGGCATACAAGTGGGTACAGAAACAAAGCTGCTTTATTAGTCGGTCTCCAGTGCTCTGCTCTATGCTGCTACATCTAGATTCCTCCAGCAGGATGAAGGCCATCAGATTACAATACTGTAGCCTCAACAGGACAGGTCGGTACCATGCATGGTAAAAAAGTATCACATGTAAGAGCAGGTGCACCAAGTATCACATGTAGGTGCACCAAACTGCACAGCAGCTCAAGAATGTGTTTGGGTTAACTCAGGTTACATAGAAACCAGCTTTGTCACATTTCCACCCCCCTTGTGGTTATTTGTTCCCCACATCATACATCGCAGGAAATAAGGACAAAACCAAACCACATTCCCCCTTCAGAAATGAACTTTTCTTAAATCATTTCCAATTCCATATTTTTTCGCAGCTAGTCTGAACCAGAAGATATAAGGAAAAAAAGGGGTTTGGGGGGTCAAGGAAATAACCTATTAAAAATGAGGGAAGTGGCATTTTCCCTTCCCCAAACTGCAAAGATTAAAACAGCAACTGATTCCATCAGACACCTTAGATCACAGCAGAACAAGCAGACTGTTCAAGCCACATTTCCATCATCCTCATCATCTCTTATATAATGGGGACTGATTTTACCATTGTTCTTCGCACATTTCCCTTAGTGCTCTTGGGTAGGAAAGGTTTCCCCTCATTGGCAAACAGCAACAGATAAATAACTTCAGCTCAGCATCCAAGACAATGTCTTTCCTCAAAGGAGCCATTTCCATCTGCACAACAATAGCACAAAAAATACGATGTTGTGGCATGTGCCAACCACTGCATTCTGTCACTGGGGATCTTCTTGTACGCACTTTGTGTCAGCTGGTTAACAATGCCTTTAGAAGACAAAGAGTTTTAATATTATAAAGAGCTCTTGCAATATGATGGGAGACTGTAATGAACTGCTAAGTAAAGCATATTATTGACTCAGAAACCCTTATAAAAGGAGGAGGAAATAGATCTGCTTCTCTGCCTCAGCCCATATTTCCTATTAATGGTTTAGGTGCCTTCTTGTGATTGTGACACACTGCTTCTTGCATTTACCTTCTCTACCCTAAATCCTGCTTGTAAAAGTACTGCATGTACCACAGACCTGCCCTTCTGGGGGCTTACAAAAACAAAGTTAAGCTAAAAATGAGTATATAAAGTTGATAGCTAAGGTTGAGATTCAGGACACTTAAAAACCATCTAGTTTTTCTAGGAAAATGAATGCAGTAACAGATCTAAATAATAAGGAAGATCTAAACAGTAAGGAAGAGGAGATGCAGCAATATGCCCTTCATTCCAAAACACCATTTCAACAATTGCCTTACATCAGAAAAAAAGAGCAGCTCAGCAGAATGAATGGGGCAAGCAGCAGTGAGGGGCAGTGTGAGCCCAGGTACAGTGCTGGGCCTGGGAATGGGGACTGAATCACCTCCAGCACTACCAGAAAGTGACATAATGTAAAACAAATGCATATAAATAAATAAATAAATAAAATGCAACCCTCACATTTTCCTTCTCCATAATTCAAAGCTAGCTTTTCCTTCTTTCATAGAGAAAAAGCTGCTTGGGAAATGCTTCAATCTGCTTTCTGCTACCTGGGTTCTTTTAAACAGCACCAGTTCAGGCTCCACAGCCGTGTGCCACCTCCATGCTCTATGCCTCCCAGTAAGCAGGGCAGAGCTGCTTTGATGAAGGGTGAATGCAAGGGAACAGAGCAATGCCTGCCTCTGCCACAAAACATCACCTGAGCAGGGAAATAAGTTGGTTTTTTTTTTCCCTCCCTCAGTTTCATAATCAAATACGGATCCAAAATAAATGAAATACAGAGAAAAAGTTGAAAATAAATAGAGATCTCATTTTAAGAAGATAATAAGAATGTATGCACCACACTCAGCCAGAAACTTTTCTCATGTGCTCATGCTTCTCTGTTCCAGCCACAGAGCTGATGCTGCAGCACGGACGCAGGAAGACAGCAGCAAAAGGAATGCACAGAGAAGAAAAGTAGCAGCTCCCAAGCCCAGCTCCTTCTGCACGAGGTGACCTCCTCTGAGCAGCTCTGCTGGGAGAAACTCCTGTCAACACAACAGCAGTGTGGGATCAGAGAATGGGAGAGCTCTGCAAGGCAGCCCTAGCTGTGGACAAACTGCCACTGCTGCTCCTGCTGAGACCTTTGACCAGGAGCTGTGACCTCACACACATCACCCTGCTGCTCCCAGCCACTGCTCCGTGCTTCTCCCCTTCACCAGCAGCAGAACTGGGCAGGAAATGTCATTTTAGAGGCAGAGGAGAAAAATGTAGGGCATTTCTATCAAAATGCATCTCTTAATTGAATAATTTCCTAGACTTTGGTTCAAGTTTAAATATCTGTTAACAACTCAGAAGCAAGAGGAAAGGTTTTGCCAAGGGGAAATCAACAGTATAGTAAGAGCTGAGTATTACTGCTGAAGGCAGGTTTAAGAGATCATAAGTTTACAGACTGAAGGAGTTGGATACATTTGATCATTCCAAAAAGTACACAGACACTTTTAGTACCATTCCTCTTCCATCTGTGCAGGAGCAGCATTTCAGTTACATTTCACAGAAGTCAGTGGCTAAAGCGAGCTTTGAGATTCCACTGATTTTATACAGAATAGAGAAGTGCTGATGTTCCCTTCTGAAATCAACTCCTATGGAAAATAAATTTTTCATAATGGCATGCATGTTATGTGCTGCAATCACAGAATGTTTTTTATGTATATACATATATACACATTTATTTGCTGTAGCAGTCTTACATTTTGATCTCTCATAATGGACATTTTCAAATGTATTTTTTAGAGAAGTAAATCATTTGCCTTCCTGCCACGTCCTTCCACATCCACCCAAACTGCAGTGCTCTGTGCAGAGACTATGCAGTCTCAACCAAATGACCTCCTCCTCATCTGACCTATCTATAGGAATGTACCCATATGTACCCATCTCACCTTCTGAAATTCAAAAAAAAACACAGAGCCAAAACACAAAATAGGAATTTGGGCACAATTCTTTGCCAGCGATGCTCAGAAATTGTAATGGAAGCATCAGCCATGAGCAGACTTCATATCACTGAAGGGCAAGAGGAAGGGAGGTTTCATTAGCAGCTCATGAAAATCATTTTCAATTGATATTCAGTTTAATTGCACCAGAGTTTAATGCCGATGGCAAAACCTAAAGCATAGATCTCATCCAAAATCCTTCAGAATCAATGTGATTCTTAACATTAACTTCCTCAAAGCCAGGATTTCTGCCTGATTGCTTTCAAATAAAATGCATAGGTTATTTCTAGATCACTCTGATTACCTCTAGGATTCCATCAGACTGAACCAGGACAGCTCGCCTGCCTCCCAGGGCACTCTCTGTGAATCCCAAAAGCTCATATCTTGCATATAATAATTATATCCTATAAAAAAATAGCATGAAGTGACTTCCAACATCCAAAGGTCAAAAATTCAGCTAACATATATTAATCTTTATTATGTAACAATGACATAATCAATGAGTTTGTGAGCTTCTTATGACCTGTACAAAAAAGATATTGCACCAAATGAGGTACTGCCTATTTGGATTCCAGATTTGTTACGCATACAATCTAACATTATATACAGTTGTGGAGTTAAGGCAAAGCCAGATGATACCTGTAACACAAGAGAAGGTTTGAAAAATGGGCATAATTACAAACAGGGGGACGCATTTCCTGCTAATAAAGCGTCTGTGTCTAAGGAAGGGATCCCTCAGGTTTTCAATATAGCAGTTATTATCAATCACATTAATTAAAATTGAAAATTGTGAGATTTCCTGAAGAGCAAAGCTGTTCTGAAAATCACGCCTGGATGATCACCTCTAACCCTGATAGGAGTATTTTTCTTAATGGCTGTCAGCTGCTCTTTGTTTTTGGAAAACTTACAGATCTCACTAAAATCCAGCCATACCTTCTTAGCTTTCTGCAGGCAAGATGCAATCATAGCCAGTGACAGAGCATAAATGTATGGGTGAACCATCCAAGACACTACAGCAGAGGAGAATTAAAGTCAGTCACTTAGCATAAATAATTACCTTTCTCAAGACAATGGAATGAGTCATGTTAGCTAAGTCCCAGTGACAGAAACATGTATGACCAATATATCAATATACAGTTCTTTGGTAGCAACACACTAACTCTTGATTGAAGAATGAACTCAAATTCTGCTAAATTATGGACCTGGTTTCCAGTCATTTCACAATTAAAGAAAATCCACTTCTCTCATGAATCCATAAGTCCAGTAAACGAAATCTGAATAAAATGTGCAGGCAGCTTTAGACCGTAACATTAAGCATAGGTATTTATCGTCTGCTTTAGTCTCAATCCAAACATATTGTATTCAAACACACAGAATTCTGTGAAACTTCTGTGTAGTTCAGATGAGGCCAAAATCCATAAAGAGAATCCTTATTCACCCATGAAAAACCAATAAGGAAACATCAATCCCACGATGACAGAATGATCTTCATGTGACAGGGGCAATGACGACTCCACAACCGGACAAACGTCACAGGAAAATTGACTTTACAGTGGAAAGACCAGAAAGCCAGAAAACGTAGAATACTGCCATCCACCAACCAGATTACCTTTCTCCAACTTCAGGTAAACCTTATCCTCTTTGTCCAGGTAGAGCAGGACTCCATTAGTGGCAGCTTCGCGAGTGACATCCTTGTCCCCAGCAAAAGCAGAGATGACTGGCTTCCCATTGAGCATCAAGTTAACCTGCATGAGAAGAAGCACTGAGAAGCTCTAATTAACAGAAAATAAAATAAAATAAAATAATAATTAACAAATATCACTGAATATTAACTACAGTGCCACAGGTATGTTGTGGACAAGCCCTTTTGTTTCCTGGCCTTGATCTGCAGCTGACTGCAATCAGTGGGACACCATCCCAACTGCAAGGCTGCGGCTCAGAGTGAAGGATAACTGGTTGCATGCGCTGTTAGTTATTGGCCAGGCAGCTCCGTTTGTGCTCACTCTCTGGTAACATGGACCTGGGAGCTCCATTTTGCTCCACTTCACCCATTTCATTGGTCATTCAGACACATTCAGTAAAGACAACAATTTCATGAGACTTTATAGGCACCTGGAGATGCACTATAGGCACTTAATTACATTTCAGAAGTCCCACAGTAGAGCGGAAGTTTACGCTCCACTGAGAGTAAAATAAACATCCCTTCTATCAGTAGCTGCATTTTAAAGTCTAGAACAGACCTTCAGCTTTATGAGCAGCTGCATTTTGATAGTGAACTCATTCTTCCACAGAACACTTCTGAAATCAGCTCAGCCCCTACCCCAAGTGCATCACACAGGTTCTGTGTAAATACCCACAGGCAGGGCCAGGGGCACGGGCAGGTCCATGCACCTCCATTTCCCCAGAGGTAAATGTTAGTTTTCTTCTTTTTAAACAGCAATAACGCAGTCACAGAGGGGTGAAATGCCTGTTCAAAAGGAGTATTCTGGCCTTGCACACATTCCCACCAGTTTTAACAGGAGTCACAGCAGAATAAATTACTGCTCAGCAAAAGTCAGGCAGCAGAATCTGGCACTGATTTGGGATTCACTTTATCGGGGAAATCCACTTAATCAGATGTCCCCAGGGAACCAATTTCAGCTTAATGATACTTAATGGCACTAACAGATGTTTCAGGGGCGCAGTGGTCTCACTTACAGGAGCCTTCTGCCAAGTCAGCGGTGTTTAAGGCTGCACATGGCTGGAACTCAAGCTGGTTTGCTCGATGGCAGTACTTTCAGTCCTCCCTATTGCTATCACAACATGCTGTGCACAAAAGGACACCAAGAGTTTGCTCATGGCTAGGCTTGGCTTTCTTTGTTCTCTACTGAGCTGGTTTCCTGCAGGGCCCCTCATCAGGATGCACACTGCAGTTTTGCCCCAGGTGGTCTCACGTGAACTGTGCCAAAATAGAGCCAACCAAACCCACCCATCACTTCTGAAAAACTTCATTGATTAAAGATGTACAGATGTCACATGGCAGGCCATGATGTTCTCTGTTACACTCCCCAGCTCCCAGGTTTGAGTACATGGCAGTGAAACACCAAAGTCTGCCCTACACTTCCAGAACCAAAGCCCTGATGTCTTTCCTGGCAACATGTAATTTAAACCCAATAACAAGGGCTGATATCCATCATTCCAGACCATTTCAACGCTTGGTATTCAAGAGTGAAAGGAACCAAGTCAGAGTTTATTAAATAGCCCATTACAGGGGAGTTGGTGATGCCATTATTTCATCCCAGATTTTATCTTTGTCTTGAATGAAACAAAGACTCAAAGCTATAAGCAGGGATGGCCCTCCAGGTCCTCCACCTTCTCCACCATTTACACCTTTCAGTACTGGCAGCCCAAAGCCAGGGCTGCACACAGGGATCACTCCTGCAGAAATCAGCTTTGTCTCAGCCCTGTCACATGAAGAACATATCCAATGGCAAGACAGGTCTGGGGAAAAGCATCTGATTCTTCTGTGGATCCAATGGCCTCGTAGGTGGAAACAAAATGTTATTCTACATCTAGAAAGCCAGTATAAACATCACAGGCACTGCATGACCTGGGGCAAAGATTAAGGAACGGGCTTTGAGCAATTTGCTTTTGGCTCAGCAAGGAAATGTTCAGGAACTTAGAATAATTTATATTTAATTATGTAGTTCAGCTGCTAGTAAGCTACAGAAAAAAGTAGAATTACACCATTTTTTAGTACATGAGGCATCTTTTATGTATTGAATGGGTAAGCAAGTTTAAACTGCAATAAAGGCTCCCTACAGGGATATAACACTTTGGTTGTTGCAGAACAAACCAACCACCTCAGCCTTGGTGCACAGCAGGCTGGGTTCATGAGCATCCATCTGGCACCATGACCTGGCAGCCAGGTGATGAGATCCTAGCAGAACAGACAGAATTGTTACATATCCCCACACTGACTCCTGTAGCAAAATACCATTTTTCAATAGTATTTAGGCAACCAAGTGAAATTTAGAGATATATTTTACTCAGTCCATTCTGTTTCATACCCCACACACCCAGATATTTGGTTCTCACAGCAAAGCTGTCCAATATCTCAGCTGAGGATCCTGCCTCATTACAGCTGTTCGATTTAAATATATTCACCCTGCTGGGAGCTGTACACCACAGGTTGCTGTAAACTAAGCTATTCCTCTTCAAGAGTGTAGGAAACACTCCTGTGTTCAGGCTAGATTCTATTGTGAATAAACAATTCAATGAGAAGATTGTATAGGCGTACCTGGATTGTTTGGCTCTGGTAGACTTTAATCACGTGAAAACTGAAGCTGTAAATTCCTTTTCTTGGTGACACAAAGACAGATTCCAATGTGAAAAAATTGCCCACGTTTACTAGGATCTACAAACAAAAAGTACAGATGGGAATTAGCACAGGCATTCAGCACTACTCAAAACACAGACTTTCAACTGGAGAAACCATTCACCCAAGGAAAATTTTCCATCCACATTTATCTTTTTTATTTACTATTGTATCAACTCACATGGAAATATTACACATAAAATGGATGTCAGTTCTATCTACAGTGCAGCCTTACGATAAATAAGTTGAGGGGGAAATCTTTCTTACTTTGCTACATCTCACACCTACATGACCTTTATTTTACACATTTAGAGGATATTGGCAAAAGTCATTTTTGTTCATCATCCCCCCAAAACGACATCAAAACACTGATTCTGGGGGTGGCACAGCAGTTTGGGATACAAAGCAGTGGCCAATTCTACACCTTCCTGGAAGTACCAAGCTGGAAGCAAGAATGTATGGGAACATTACAGTTCATTCAGTGCTCAGTCACATGAGCTCCAGGAACGCCTGGTGGATGAGCACCGTCTGGCCAGGAGCCTTTGCTGCCCTCTTTATGTAAGCACTTATTGTAATTTGGGTCTGGTTAAACAGAGTCAAGGAACAGAGGGGAACACACCAAATAAGTGCATCATTCGTATGATAAATATCTCCTTTAGTTCCTACTTTTTATTTCATCCCACTTAATTATACTCTATTTTTAATTGATATTTTTACAGAAAGCCGTCAGGAATGCCCACAAAGTTGGGGTGATGCAAACAGCATAAAGCTGTGCTACAAGCCTGGCTCCAGCTGTCACCACAATTTACTGTTCATTATGATAGGAGACAGAGACTAAAGCGAGCATCAGCCTCAGTTACCTGCCCTAGGGCAGGAGCTCGTATTAAAAGCGTGCTGGTATTTGTATGCGATTGAGATGAGAGGGGCTGGGCTACGAAGCTGTGATTTTTAGAGAAAACTTCAATGATATTTTCCCTGCAAATCCTTCCTCTTTCGCCTCCAGAAGGCTGTGCACACCCACTCCGCGGGCTGCCCCGTCTCCGGGGGCGGGGAGGCAAAGGGAGAACAGCGGAGCGCAGCGCTGTGCGGTGCGGGGCTGCGCCCCTCCCGCTGCTATCCAAACTCCGGTGGGAAATAACGGCGGACGGGGGGGGGCTGCTGTGGCACCTGTTGCGCGCAGCGCGCCCCCGCGGGGCCCCCAGCTCACCTGGTCGAAGTAGATGATGCGCGTCTTGTTGCTCATCTCGGAGGGCTCGTGGTTGGTGCTCCTGACCGCCGAGAAGGCGACCTTCGAGTTGGCCGCCCTCACCGAGATGCCCAGCGGAGAGGAGGACGAGCCCTTGGCGTCGGTGGTCGGGTTGGAATCGCACACCACCAGGCACTTGCCCTCCAGGACGATGGGCTCCGTCTCGTTCTGCGCCCGCGCCGCGGGGCCGCCCAGCGCCAGGGCCAGGAGCACGGCGGGCAGCAACCGCCAGCCCATGGTCCGCACCCGCGGCCGCTCCGCGCCCCGCTCCGGCCACCGCGCACAGCGGCGCTCCCCGCCGGCAGCAGCGGCAGCCGCTCTGAAAGTCTTCTTTCTGCCGGTTTCTTCCCTCTGCCGGCTTCTTCCCTTCTTTTATTTATTTATTTATTTATTTATTCACCTCTCCGTCTTCTCCTCCTCCCGCCCGCCACCACTTGGTGCCTTTTTCTTTTTTCTTTTTTCAATTTACCTGGTCCTTTCGAGAGCTCTTTACAAAAGCAGCCGAACAAAATAAAGACTTTCCGGTGCACGCTTTTCTCCCCTCACTCTCCGCATCGAAAAAGAGATTAATGCAGAGAGTGGTAGGTAGGGGGGAAAAAAAAGGAAAGGGGAGGAAAAAAAAAAAAACCGTCAGGTGAATTATTGATGAGAGACAGGTGACGAAGAAATGAAACCACTCCACGTTGCCATGATTTCTGCTTCTGTGTCCCTGCTTTGAGCTGGAGATGCGGGCGCTCACCCCGCTGTCTGATCCGGGTCCGATACAGCTGCGGGCTCCGGCTGTCTCTGCCTCTCTCTCTCTCTGCCACAATCCCCAAAGACTTATGTCACAACGAGCCTGCCCGTCCCTCACCTAGCTGGGCTCCATTGGGATGGACCTTCCTCTCGGAATTGCCACCTACAGACGCACACACTCGTCCTCCCAGCCAACTTTAACGGCAGCTGCAAAGCCGAAGGGAAAGCAACAGATCAGTGCAACGTCTCTTAACGCCTCTTAAAAGGAGGCGGGGGTTGGAGTTGCAGCCTGGTTGGGAGGCAGCATCTCAACCTGCAGGTGCCTCCCTGTGAGTTGCTCGGTGGTTTTGTTTTGGCACTGCACCCGGACCCGGCGCTGCCCAGCTGGGGCACTCAGAGCCTGTCAGCAGAGCGTGTCAACCACTACGAGCAGCATTCATTCACCTCTTGTCCAGCAACCCCTGCCCGGAGCTGCCAGACCCAACTGGAGCTGTGGCCACCAGCACTGCCCACACCTTCAAGAAGCCGTAGAGCAGCCCTTAAGTCCCCTTAGCCTACAATAAATAAAGTCTTCTCCCAAATTCTGAAAGCCAGATGCAAATTTTAAGGAATCCCTTAGCTCAGACAAGAGTTAAAAAAGAAATTGCACTGTTTTCTAGGAATGCATTGATATCCTTTTCTTCCAGTGACACCAACATCGATGAAAAGTCAAACTGAGAAGAGGCACTTGCTGCAAACAAGGGAAGGAAATAAGAAAGGAAACAAAGATTTGCATCATAACATTATTTCTTTTGTAAAAGTTGGATCTGCAGATAAAAGGATCTATGCTCACACACAGGAACACCTGTCTGAAGAACCCTTGCAAAGCAGAACTGTGTGAAAACAGCAAGATTCTGCTTCACAATGTTTTGTAGATAAATACATATGTATAAATAATCCCACACTGTTTCAACATCTCCCCCTTAACATCTCATCCTTACCTCATGCTGCTCCACAGCCTTTCAGCTGTGCACCAATCACAGCTAATATACATATGGCATAGATACACCTTCTGACTGGAATTTTAAACTTTTGACATTGTTGAAAGTTCCACCATTTGCCCAAAACTCAGAATTTTGCAGTCATTTCAGCCAGATTTGTTTCAGCATCTTTTTGCTATGAACAATGATATCATCTCTACGTGAAATGGGTGCAGGCTGAATCAGATGTTCAGAAGAGGACTTCCCCATCTCCCTGCTTGCAGCTGCATGCACTAAGCCTGTTTGCCATCCCACCCCACTCCCTCACATGCCATGGGGCTGATTGCACAGCACAGCCCCCCAGCTGAGCACTGCTCACTTCTGTGCTCTTATCCCAGTGCTGTGCACACGTTGCTGTACACACAGGTTACTTCAGCTGTGCGAACACATTAGTAATTAAGTATACAGCCAATTACAGCTAACTGCTCTCCACAGCTGGCCCCAGGACCTGCAGTTAGCTTACTGGTTTGCTGGCTAAATGCAAAACCAGCTCACCTGGATAATGAGCTTAATGGGCCTTAAGAAGTTTCAATAATTATTTTATAAAGTTCCCCCCAATTTGAACATTAAGTGTATGGCAATGTATACATGTACATGGCTGGAATGGCTAAAATAAACAAAAGCTTTTGCCCATGAAGTCTTCAGATGCAGAACCAAGCTGGTGTTTTCCTTGCTTCATTTTAATCTATTTCATAGACCTCTGTGTGTGTATGTGTGCTCCATCTCTGGTGCCTTGCTTGGCTTACTAAGCTTCTTCCTTCTGTTCGTCTGTTTCGAACTTTGCTCTCATCACACCATCCCATCTTTGAGTATTTCTTTTTGAAAGGATACCAGGAAAAAATATTTGTCTGCTCCTATTTTTGGTACTTGTTTAATTTCCCTGGCATTCTGTTACAAAATAAGAATGAATAAATAAATAATAGTGCTTTGATGACTGGAAATGGAATTCAGAAATGGTGTGTGAATCTTAGAGGCGATTTACAAAACGAAGTCAGCAGGATGTCCGCCTGTGTGTGGGGGTACAAACGTTCAGCTCTGCTGACAGCATCGGCATTTCAGGTCTTTATTCAGCTTTCTCACCCAGCCAAACCCTCTGTTTGCTCAGTGCTGCAGACCTGAGCACACGCCAGACCTGAGCACAGAGTGCACATCAGGGCTGCAGATGCTCCTGGGCAGGTTCTGTTGTCACGTCCAGCTGTTTCTGCTGCTACTGGATGGAGGTCTGCAAATAATCCACTGAGTCCAATACACTTAGTCCAGATTTACATCAGTAGCTGATACCCTGACAGTTCATTCTACTCCTTCATAGGTCAATTGTTCACAACATCAATATGTTGGTAAATTTCATTGTCAGTCGCAGCTGGGGACAGCCCACAAAGAGCTTGGCTTTTCTTGAGTGAATTGTTATTCAAAATCTATCCAGAACATCTCTTGCTAATTTATATGTATTCCCAAAACATTCATGAAAGAGTTTTTGTGGACTAAGACCAAAAAATGACCTTGTGCACGTACAGACATTTACACCCTTATAGCAGGTACTCAAAGCCCTATAACTCGTAACAAAGTAAATTAAATTCTTGGTTTATTATTACATTTCAGCTCATGTCTAGAAAGGAGAAAAAAAAAAAAAACCACCTCATTTTTGTATTTTTAGCTAAGTTACCTGATACATTTTGTGCAGTTTTAGGAAATAAACAACTTTTGAGGCACTCTGTTGACCTATGCAATGGTCTCAGACTTCCAATTGTGTTTGAATGAAACAAGAAGTGTGCATTTTGCCAAGGTGGAATAAAATCAGATAGGGTCAGCAAATAAGGGAAACAAATAGCCTGGCAGGAAAATTGTTCTTTTTCAGTAGGAGGGAAGAGGAAGGAACTCAGTTTGCTGCCTGCTCTGATCTTCAGAACCTGTTCCCCCAAGCAATGCAGGCACAGAATGCACACGATGGAGTTTGCAAAGGATTCAATGATCTGCTGGCACTCAATTTAGCTTACACTGTTGAACACATATTGTTGATACAGTTTGCCAGCACTGTGTCAGGAAAACCACAGAAAATTAGATAGTGAAGTGGTGTAATTTAGTGCATCTCCTTTGACATCAACAGAAGCTCACAGATTACCTCCCCTCAGCGGAATTTGTCCCAGAGAAATTGCTCACAGAGTGGCTTTCATAGCAAAAGCCAATGAGGGAATAGTTTGCTTTAAAGGATGTGCCTAAGAGAGTGCATTAGGAGTCTGCCCATTGGCTGCACTGCCTGTTTGATCTTCAGAAGGGAGAGATTGTACTGGAAGACTCATGATGATGATGGAAGTCATGGAGAAGGGCTCAGCATTAGGATTTTTAGTGCCATCTATTGAAATGTGCCAACTCGAACAGAAGAGAAAAGGCTGTCAAGAACAATAAATATCTCTCTGTGGTAGTGAATGCTTTAAAAAGATACAAGGAAGAAAGTAATAAGTTTATTTCACAGCTGAGGAGTCAAATCCATTGAACTCACCGATTTCTCTCCCTGGACTGTAGATGTCTTTTCCAGGAGACTGTTGTCTTATTTTTTAATTTTTTTTTTTAACTCTTGTTAGGGAGAAATGAGGCTCCTCAGCTCACGTTCTGTGTTTCTTTTTGTCCTCAGCTGATATCCCCTGGAAACTGCTTCCTAGCAGTGTTCTGGGGAAGCAAAATACCCCAAGGACTACAAAAGCCATGAGCAGCCACTGTCTCTCTAGGAATGAGCCCCTATGGGTGCACAGCTCTGTCCTGAACAGAAGCAGTGTGAACTCTGCCTTCCATATCAACGGCCTCTCTTTATATAAGCCAATGATTTTTCCACATAAAAAATACCCAAACATCTCTTGAAGTAGTGTCTGTCACTTCCATCTCCCCCTCCAGCCATCACGTTCCACGTGCAGCTCAGCAGCACTTGACTAATTTTGCACGGCTGTAAGGGGAGAGACTGAAGAAGAGAAAAAAAAACAAAAACAAAAACAAAAACAAAACAGTAACTTTTCTAAATGTGTAAATTTAATTCCCCAAGGTGTCTGTTCTGGTACAGCACAGAGAAGCACTGGTCAGCCCAGCACTCTGCAGCTCCGCACGGCTGCTCCATTGACAGCGGTACTTCAGCTCTCACAGTGCAGGCTGCACAGGTGGCTTGCGTAGGGCAAGTCCAGTAAATCCAGAATCAAAATGGTTTTGTTTATTTTTATTTTCCTTAATCAGCTTAATTCCTAACAGCAAAGGAAGACGTCAGATTGTTTTGGATGGCAGGATTCCCAAAAACAAAGTTTAATGTCAGCAGTACTGACAGCAGTAATATCCTAGCAGGGATATTAGCCAGAAAGTATTTACTGCCTGAGAAAAGTTTCTGCTTTGAAATGAGTCAAGCAAATTTCTATCTATAATACCAAGCAGGACTGCATCCTCCTTCAGATTTCACATTTCATAATATGCCAAAGTAAGCTTGGTGCCTTTGTAGGGCAATAGTTA